AATAAACAATAATCATTAGTTCAACAACAGATGAACTTAAATTAAATTTTAAACAAGACGTTAAGAGCAGAACTTCAAGTTAAGTTGCTTTCATTTAAAAAGTTTTGACTGCATAATGAAATAACAATATGATATCAGACTTATGTCGCGACAATTGAAATCAAAATGAGTTTTCATTATGATATAAACTGCAAATTTTAATTTCGATTTGCTTTCATTTTGTTAACCGACTTTGCTCGGGTTCAATCCCAGTCGGCACCGCCGGGATTTTCTGAGGCATAAAATCTCTGATCACCGAAAGTAAAACCGTTGGTCCCCGGTCTATGAGATGATGGGTCGATAGGTAGGGTCCAGATGCGGGAGCTGCCTCCCTGGCGTCGGTAGCATTGGTACTCAGTACGCAAAACACTTCATGGACAAAAAAAATCATTCAAGACTTTGTTGAGTCTGTAGAACATCAGGACCCGATCCTAATCCTCTACTATGTTCCCTGTTTTCGAAAAAAGGAGACAAACGCAATGTGGGAGAACTGCCGTGGGATTACCTCGCTTGGGGTTGAATCTAAATTGTTTGAGTCGCTGATAAATGAGATATTGTTTGCTTCCTGCAAGCATAAGTACATGTCAACATGGCTTCTTTCGTGGCCGCTCTGTGGAAACGAATCTCGTCAGCTTGACGTCGTTCTGCATGGAAAATGTATGCAAGAAACTTCAAGTGGATGCCCTCTACACTGGTCTTAAAGCTGCATTTGATAGAGTTGTGCACGACGTTCTGCTAGCAAAGCTTGAAAAAATTGGATGTTCTGTTTCCTTCTGCAGCTGGCTGAGATCGTACCTCGTGCAACGTGAAGTTACTGTACGCATTGGAAACTACTCATCTTACTGTTTCTCGAACAGATCAGGAGTTCCACAGGGCAGCAGTTTGGGACCACTGATCTTCTCTTTATTTGTGAACGATGTAACGTTTACTCTACTACTTGGAGGTAAATTGTTTTTTTTTTGCCGATGACTTGAAGATTTACCTATTCGTTCGAGACTATGCTGACTGTTTTGAACTACAAAACATTCTTGGAATGTTTAATGTGTGTCTCAAACTGCTGCGTAATTAGTTTCCGTCGAACCAGGACTGCCGTTTTGTTTGATTATAACGTTGCTGGGACTGCAGTTCAACGTGTCGATCACGTTAAAGACCTCGGTGTCATGTTAGATGAAAAGCTAACATACACTCGCCCCTTCTCAACCACGATCGACAAAGCAAATCGTCAGCTTGGATTCATGTTCAAGATCTCTAAAGAATTTCGTGATCCTCTGTGTTTTAAAGCCCTTTACGCTCACGCTACGCTACGCTACGGTACGCTCACAACTGGAACTCGCGTGTGTTGTCTGAAATCCCTATCAAGCTGTATGGAGTGGACTATTCGAAGCTGTTCAACGCAAATTCGTCAGATACGCACTGCGCTATCTTTCTTGGAGTGACCCGCTGAATTTACCACCGTATGCTGACCGCTGTCGTTTACTGGGTTTGGATACTCTTGCTGAGTGGCGAAACGTATCGCAGATCGTCTTCGTTGCTAAAGTCTTGCTCGCAGAACTTTTTTTGTTCCTGAGTAACTGGTCAACATTAATCTGTATGCTCCTGCCCGTACACTCCGTCCTAGAGCCTTGCTACATGAAAAATTACATGCAACCAACTATGCTGCAAACAGTTCCTTTGCCGCCATGATTCATCTAAATATTCAATGAAGTATCTGACCCATTTGACTTTGACATCAATGCCTCCAGATTTCGTCATCATCGTTGCTGTCGGCCAATTTTAATTTTCAATGAGTGACTATATGAAATACTTACATTGAGACTAACAAGTCAGATAGACTATAATAATAATAAATTAATAATAATAAATAAATAATGATCACTTGTATTTGTCATTAAAATTACATATCCGACATTATTTTACAGGCCTGAACGAAGCTTTCTGGGTTCACAAATTTGATCGATAAATCAGACAATGCCTCGTTCAATCTGTAGATCGTCAAGATCTGAACTCCAGGACAATTTGGAGAATGGATCATATTTTATTAACACATGATGCTATGGGGCTATATCAAGCTGGTTGGGTAAACAAATATATCGGTGCATCGTACAAGACACCGTTGAGCCTGTAAAAATTGAAGAGCTAAACCTCAGGATGATTTGTAGGACCAGAGATATTTTGTCAACATAACTGTGTATCCTACAGAATGCTTTTGGGCTTCATGAAGCTCTGCGGAATCAAAAATTTGATCGGGACATTCTATATTACCAAAGATGAATACTAAGATGAAACTGTCGGAAGAAAAACTTTCTATTTTAGTGTCCTCTTTCACGGTCTCTTTCATCCAATGAAGGTAGTTTTGTGACTTTGCTGCACTCTCGGTAGGAGATGAAATTTAGCGCTCATTTTTATCGAAACAATCACACCAAGATCAGAGATGTCCCATCTTTTAATTACTCGATTAACAACTAATCGATTTTTTTTGTTCGCTGTGCTGCCATTTTTCCACCAATGAGAGTGCAGCACATGTATGAAACGATCGGTGATGATCCTCTGGAGATGTTAATGCTTATTTCGGCATGATATAACCGATAACAAATATTTTACTTTTCGGTTCGTTAATCGATTAATCGATTATTCGAATGAAAATCGGCCATCACTAGATGAATGTGAAACGTCATTTAAAATATAAGGACCGTACATAAATAATGATACAATTTGAAAGGTACCGAGGCTAATCACAAATTACGTCCCCACGGTAACTGAAATAAACACGAGTGTTCACCGGTTGATATTACTTTAGGGCATCGTACCTGTAGAACTTCAAAATTGAAACTCCAGGATGATCTGAATAAATGTTATTACCACGTTTGTCCTGTCCACACTCTAAAAATGTATACAGGTTTATTATTTTATGAGGTTTTGGAGACCCAGGACATTATTGTATTTTTTTCTGAATAATTGAAATATGAGTATCTTTAAACAGTTATTTTTGATAGCTTATTTCTTGTACGGGTACACTAATAAAAATTCAATGATTATTTTTATGTGTTCCACACATGAATTTTTGCAATGTGATAAACAATTGATATTATGTGTCGGGCACATACTTAATACATACATAAAATTCATGTGTAACCACACATACTGATCATTTGACTCATACATTTCATGTGTACTTCTGAGTGGATTCTGTTTATGTGGGGACACATGTAAATCATGTGGAATTTTACATGGAAATTCACCAATAAAAATGTGTCGAACTGTATGAGTGTAGGTTGTAGGGTGCTTCATTTTGACAATAGTTATGAATTTCTGATAGGCCACCCTCCAGTTCGTATCATTGCCCCAAAATATGAACATGTGCAAAAAATGGCAAAGATTGGCCTTCATCATTGGTCGCGCAAATGATTTGAAATTGGTGCGTGGGAATTGCTTTGGAAAAATTTCAAAAATCACTTATAACACTCTCAGTTTGCTTCTACATGGCCAAATGTTGAAAAAAATGTTGTTGTTATGGCAATAACCAAAAAGTTTGTTGTTACGATCAGTTTTACAGCATATAAACAAAGATAGAACTGCGAAATAAAATAGAAAATAGGGTAAATTGACAGATGGATATGTGCAAGACAAAAACGCTAATGTCATCACAACAACAACAGGCTTGATGATCATTGTCGTGAAAACCGCTTTTTTTTTCTTTTTTTTTTCGATGTTTGGAAAACTGCAACCAAAGTTAGAGCAATGTAAGTGAAAATCAAAAATTTCCCATACTAATTCCACACTAATCCCATACGAAATCTCCATGCAAACTTCAAATCATTTGCGCGACCTCTAAACTTTCATCAATCTCTACCATTTTTTGCATAGGCTCATATTTTAGGGTTGTGAATCGAACTGGTAGCTTATCTGCAGTACATAATTTTTTTAATGGAGCACCCTAGTGTATATCCCCGTGGTATCGAATCGGCTAAAGCATAATTTGCAATCTGGACTTTCACGAACGGTTGGATAAGTTTGCACTTGAAATCCAGTGTCGATCTATTTTACTTATGAATGTGTACCATTAATTCGAAATACGTTGTATTATGCAATACGAATGTCTTTACAGTTCCTAACAATGCAACGTAATCCAGAATAAAGAAGATCCCTTGTTTCGTTGCTATTTTCTCCGTTTTACCTACTTCGCTTACTATTTTTCAATTTAACGAACTGCTGATTGAAATTTACAAAATTGCTCTCATTTTATCGTCTTTGCAAAGTATCTGCAAAATAACAGATAAAAACTCATTCTTCCGCACAAACTTCGATCTTTGTCTTTCGCATCGCTGCCCTTTGAAAGCAGTGCTCCGGCAGTTTTCGATCTGCGGTAAGCTGGCTAGCTGGCAGCTGTGGCCCGGTAAGCGAAAGCATGTGGGTGGTTGTTACCCCCGGAAGGCAGCATTGGATGGATGGCTGTGTGTGAGTACTCCTGCCAAAGGAAGACATTTCGACGAAGCTATGTTGTAGTCGCAGCAGCACCACTAGCATTCTATAAAATCAATTTCATCCACTTTTATTCGGCTTTAAGAGCATACAGCTATATTCTTATTTCTCGCTCCTTCCCAGTCCAGGAGAGGGTCGGAGCTGTTTTTCCATTTGGATCCCCTTTCAATGTCTCGACCATTTCGTAGCAAAAGTTTATCCGTAAAAATAAAGTTTAATAGAAAACGAAGAATAAGATAATGGTGAAATCGCAAATGCTGCCCGCTCTGGATGCTAGAGAATCGTCAAATAAAGACCGAAGGCTGTACACTTTGCTGGATAAAGCAAACATCATGCCGCATACGTTCCCATTTAATGGTGCATTGAACAGCACATTTGCCCATAAGCATGAAACAAGGGCAGCCAACAATAATTGCATGGGAAATTCCTGAATCGGTTTTACTGGGTTCAACTAATTGATTTTCGTTATCTTTTATTTCCAGAAAAACACAATTCTGTGGATAATGAATTCATTGATGAAAATGAAGCTGATGACTACGATGACGAAGAAGAAGAAGAAGGTAAGATATGCACTTAGATTTTTAGAATATAGATAATAGCATATATGAATTTTCTGCAGATAACCAGATGACAGAAATTGATTTTCGTTTCGAAGATTTCACTAGAAGGTGAGTTAATTATTCTTACTATTTCGATGTTTAACTGCTTTTTGAATACTGGTTTTAATCACTAGAGGCCTCATAGTCTAGTCAGTTAAGGCATGGTATTACCAAGCCGGAGGTGGCGGGTTCGATTCCCGGTCCGGTCGAGGGAATCTTTTAGGTTGGAAATTTTCTGGACTTCCCTGGGCATAGAGTATCGTTATGCTTGCCACAACAATATACAAATTCATCGGTATTGGCATCGAAAGCTCTCAATTAATAACTGTGGAAGGGCATTTAGAACACTAAGTTGAGAGCACCCACTAAGCTAATATGCGCTGAGCAATAAGCTTAAAATGCGAATAAGAAAAAGAAGAAGAAGAAGAAGATTAAATTTAAATGCTGTTTCATTGGAGTCTACACGCAAACCAAAAATCTATTACAATGAATGTTAGTTCCGTTTCCTATCATCCTCTGTTCATGAACTTCGCAACGAATGTTAGAAATTGACCATGCAGGCGATGTAATGTTTTTTTTTGTCTTTTTTATTTCGTGTTCTAATTAATTAATTTATCTTTATTAGGGAGGCTTTCAGCCTTGGGCTGGTTCGCCTCCAATTTCGTGTTCTATCTACACCCAACCGCTTACAATTATGTGGGATTCATCATCAGAGGATGTTAGTGGAGACCGCATGAACCGAGGATGCGATATACCTAGCTGCGGTCCAATGCAAGAAAATTCTGAGACCGAAAAATGTAGAGTGTATTAGTGAGTGAAATTAGTTATGTTGAAAAAAATAAAAAAAAACAAATCGCCGACTGGAATCGAACCACGAACGTTGCGAATATCAGACCTGTGCATTCTCAACTGCTCTCTCCATGCTTCTGAATATAGATAGCCTAAAAGCAAACACGAAGCGCTCATTTTCTCGCATACTCAGCTTCGACTTCGAGGCAAGTTTGTGCGTCGTAGAATCCGTAGGCCGAGTTTAGCGTCAAGAGCAGTGTTAGACTTTTGATAATAGCTCAACGATTGGTTTTTCTTTATCAAATCTTACGGTAGATACGGAAAGGTAAATTAATTTGGAAGCCATCAGTAATAATAACATTCCGTTTGGTGCTAAACTGCGCTAGATTAAGGAAGACTAAGTGCGGATTGTGCTTAATAGGCTGGAAATGGGGTAGTTAACCCTATTCAACATGATTCTACGATGTCGTAATCAAACTGTCGATTTAGACAAATATCTATCGATTGGGAATGTTTTATAAAGGTGAGATAGTTTGTGTGGTTGGCTATTGGTCACATACGGAAAGACGTGTGACATCCGATTTTAATACCCTATGTTACGGTAGGAACAAATGTAATACAATGAATTCTGTCAAACACAAGTCAAGAAATGTGGTATTTCATCTACGTTTCTAGTATTATATTAATGAAAATCATTTCCTCTTTCAATTCGATCACGCAGATGATCCATTCGATTGAATCGCATTCCGTTTTATTCCGGGTAGAAAACCTGTAGAATAGCTAATCGGAATCCGCTGGTCACCTTGCAAATTTGAAAAATACTTAGGCAGAAGACCGAAATTTAAATTTCGGTTAAATGACTCATTTGCCCTAGTGACCTCTTTGGTCTAATCCCACTCGGCCTAATCACATTCACGGCCAAATAGCATTCAACATAATAGCATCTGACCTAATTATCCATATTCAAACAAAAAATTTGCCCCTCCCCCGCTATTTCGAAACCTGCATTAATCCTTATTGTTCCTGCTTCAAACCCACTGTAACCGGTTTCAAAAATTGAGCAACTGATGCAAATTTTGCTAGTATAAGTTTACCTTCCGTCCAGACGAAAGATTATGGCAACTTTCCCAACAAAAATGCTTTCAGGTTTTCGAACAAGGGCCGGATCAAGTGATTATTATAGGGGTAATTTTTATTAGAACTGGGTCGTTGAAGTCCATTTTACATATAGGTACTATTATTGAAATCCCCAGTCAAAATCTCCGGGATATATCTAAAATGACCAATTCCACGCCAAATCGGTCAGTCACCAAACTTGACTAACTTCGATCTGGATGATACTTGGCACATATTTTCAGTATGATAGACCAAGTATTTTCCGCAGGAGAGGAAACCCTTTTGACTCAAGGGTAATTTTTGAAAAGGGCCTATGTGTTTTTGAACACATACTTTAAAAAAAATGTAGTCCGAAAACGGTTGGTTGTAGAAAAAAAATTACTAACAAGGAGTTGTAGAAAACTAATAAGGCTTTATAAAAAAATATACACGGAATTTTTTTTTTCGTTTTTTTACAAAAAAAAAATAAAAATAAACCTCAAAATTCAAATAACAATAAAAACGTATTTTTGTCTTTTTTTAATATTTTTTTTAATAAAAACTTGAATAGTTAAGTTTTAAACGGGTTGTCTGATCGTTCAATCGTCAAAAGACAAATTGAAGGTAAATATATGTGTATCTTGCTAAACTTATCAATGCTGATGGAGAATCACGATTAACTCATGAAAATGGCTTATTTTCTACAAAAAATTGATTAAGATGAAAGTAAATTTGAAATATCTCGAAAACGGTTATATTTAGGAAGTTTATCGATATGAGCACTATCGTTTGAAATGATTTTTATAATCATATACTAACATCAAACTGAACATTTTGCCGTAAATAATGAAATTTTCAAAAATGCCTCCAAAGTTGCTCTTAGAAAAACTTTTTTATTGAAAGTTTCTCCATCCTAGAGTTGTTTTCAAAACTTCTGCTTTCTATTCAAGTTTTTATAAAAAAAAATTAAAAAAAATCAAAAATACGTTTTTTTGTTATTTTAATTTTGAGGTTTATTTTTTATTTTATTTTTTTGTAAAAAAACGAAAAAAAAAAATCCGTGTATATTTTTTTATATAAAGCCTTATTAGTTTCCTACAACTCCTTAGTAAATTTTTTTCTACAACCAACTGTTTTCGAACTACATTTTTTTTAAAGTATGTGTGCAAAAACACATAGGCCCTTTTCAAAAATTACCCTCGAGTCAAAAGGGTCTCCTCTCCTGCGGAAAATGCTTGGTCTATCATACTGAAAATATGGGCATAGTATCATCCAAATCGAAGATGGTCGAGCACGATTTCACGTTTTTTCAGCTCATTCTGGATGTAATCCCTCAAATGTAAACAGAAAATCAAGTGTGTAGTTCTATTCACTCAAATTGGCACTCTGATGATTTTTCGTACATTTTGTTTTGTTTTGTTTTGTTTTGCTCATTTCTTAGATTTGAAAAATAATTCCTGTCACTTTATTATTTGTCATAAATGTCTGGTGGGGAATACCGATAGCGAAGTGAATTTTATCCTTTCTAGATAAGCAGCTTAAGCATACTATTTTAGCCGCATAACTAACGAGGAGATTTCAGCAATGGAAGTTTTGCTGTATCCCACTATCGGGTGGAGCTCGTGACCGAGAGAGAAGCATCAAGGCACCAGTTGTGCAAACATTTTGCGGACGCTTCGGTTCACAAGTAATGTACACGGACTTGGTTCGTTTTACCAATTATCGCATATGTGTGTACTTTGATATACATATATGATATATTTATGGTTGGTTGAGTGTTTGCTCCCTTTTGCATCTACGACGGCGACATTCATGAGTGTGAGCGCACTAGATACACTAGGCCGAGGAAGAAACATTCACATAATCTGCTTGCTTTCTTAATCAGAAACGGAAGCAATAATAAACAAACCGACTCGACTCAGTATGAGCAACACCGGGCATGAACAGAGAAACATTGACCTGACCTGGTGGGATTTGTGGGATACATGACATCTGTACATTAGGTGCTTTCGGTTGGAACCCCGCAAAACCTTTGAAGCGGGTCATTCCGTACAATGTGTGATATATTAGCAAACAGGCTGTGATGTTGGTGTTATTTAAGCGAAATCAGGACATGTTAATAGTAGACTCTCACTCACTCTGTCTTGCAGAGACAACATCGACAGCAACAATAACATCAATTAGTTTATCGAGTGTCTGTCCTGTTTGTGGAAACGATATGTAACAACACTTGAGGAAATGTTGGTCCATTGAGCAGCCCTGTTTGGCACGAAGTGTTTGATTTAGCCTGCAGTTATTTCCAATCAGGTGTTAATCGCACATAGAAGCCAGCAAATAGGTTTAGCAGAACAGAGTACCCATACGGGACAAGGAGTAACACTACAAAATCACAGATAATTGACCGCCCAATTGTATGGATTGCATAAAATTTTGCAAACACAGGCAAGCTCAGTCACAATCACTAAACTGTTCTCCTTTAAGGTGAAAGTTGATAGAATCCACAAATGGCCTCTATTATGATTATTTAGCCTTGTCGCTACGAATTTTTCATGACACGAATCTCAGAAGCTATCTAAATTTCTTGCAGGAAATTGTAATCACATGTATGCTGTAGATTAGCAAAAGAGTGATTGTAATTTTGAACACGAAATCTCTATAGTTTCTGAAATTGGTCCCATCAAAAATTCGAATTTTAAAATTTATCTGTTAGCAATTTTAAAACTTATCGACTATAACATTCATAGTTTACATCAATTTGAAAAAGTTGATTTTTTTTTAAGTACTATGCGATTGGATGACTTCACCAGGAGAATTTATCCTTAAAATCTATGGAAAACTGTTTGTTTCCCTGATATCTATGTTAAACTAATGAACAAAATAAATTAAACCGCATCAACCTATTCATTATAACTTGTAAATACACTAAAGTCGGTTGTCCCGATTAATAAAACCAATCAATCGACAGGGTGTCTACTAACTGGAAACCCGGTAATCTTCAGGGAATTTTATTATACCTGAAAAAACCTGTAATTCTCAGGGAATTTCATCATTACTCAGAGAAATGTTTTATAACTCACAGCGCTGGTGGTTGAGTGGTTATCGTGACTGCTTTCTCACCCCAATGTACATATCTGGGTCCAAACCCAACGACCTCGGTTATTTCTCTGAGTCGAGAATATCTATGG